CAAAAGCTTGGATCGATTTGTTCAATAGTTATAACCAGGGATCTAGAAACCACGGGCACCTAAAGTATTTAAACTGCACCTATAAGAAACGGAGCAGGCTTTTAATATTTTAATAAGGTTTTACTCAAAAAGCTGCAACGATATTTTCCATAACAAAACATACTGCATCTGGAAAACTGGTCTTTTGTTGCCGGAATACTTGCCTTTTTGTACAATCCTGGCTTTATTGCATTAAATTTTAAAATATGTTGTATTAGAGGAGTCATTACTTTCATTTTACTAGCAAGAACATTTTCTTAAATTTTTGAAAATATCGAAGACATTTATAACATTGAAAGATATTCAGTTAATGGGCAGTTTAAAACAATTTACTAGAAAAAGAAAACTATTATCTAACGCCTGAAGGTTGAATAATAAACGATAAAAAAGTAAACAAATCTGTTTCTCAAAGTCCAAGAAGCAGCTTACTACGGAGAAGAGACAACGCCTTTATATAGTTATGTTTGTTACAAAATGATTGGATTTTCACAGGCTCTCGATTTTCTGTGGTTTGTGGGAATCTCTCTCTACTCACTGAAATCATCTGACCGTAAAGCAAACTTCACGTACGTAAAAATTTTCTAAATTATTATTCTTATTACGTTAGTAGTAATATTTTCAGAGAATTACTAAACGATTACACCCTTAGAGGGAGTTGAAAGAAATATTAAGGATCTTCTCTCTTATTGATACGCTAAGGAGTTCTCGTAATTACTTTAACACATTTTAGATAAATTTTTAGAGAATTACTGAAGGACTCCTTTCTCATAGAAAATTTAGAAAATTACTCTAGGGTTTTCATCCTAAAGAATTACTAAAAGACTTCAGATACATAAAACCTCTATTAATCATATTTTATTTATTATTTAGGTGACATTTTTAGAGAATTTCTGGGGGTATTTTTCTCAAAAGTATAGAGAACCTCTAAAAGCCTTCTCCCCAATAGAAATTACTTAGGGAGCTTTCGGTACGTGAAAGGTTTCTTTTAATTATTTTTTATTTGTAAGCTTTTTAAGTGAAGATTTTAAAGAATTGCTGAGAGGATCTTTCCTGAGAGTGATTATTGAGAATTACAAATAAACTCCCTCCTTAAGGAATTACCAAAGGGATACGTAAAACTCTCCTCAATAATGGTTTATTTATTACTAAAAGGAAATTTTTGAGAATTATTGACGATCGTCTTCTTTAGAGATTTTAAATAATTTCTATGGTGCTCTTTCTCTATAAAATCACCAAAGGGTAAATCAAAAAGTTTCTTAATAATGCTTTATTTGTTACTTTTTTTAAGTGAGATTAGGGAATAGTTTAGAGCTAAGCTTACAAAATTGTTCTGTAGCTCCTCCTTTAGAGAATTTTGAGAATTTTTAAATTGCTACTTCCCTATATAATTACTAACTGGCTTTGGGTAGAGGAGAGTGGGGTAAGACCGGGTAGTGGGATCTGACCCGGTACTTTGAGTGTATGGTTGTTATCGTTGTTGTAGTTCATTTACGTGACACTAGAGCTGCACAATGGGCTATTGGCGATGGTTTGGGAAACATCCCTGAGGATGACCCGAATATATGCCATCACAATTTCGATCCGCTGCCAGGGGATGGCACCACCGCTTCGGTAGCCCGACGACTTGCACGCGAAGTCGAGCACTTTACGGTAGAACAGTTCAACGAGGACCAATACCGCACACCATCGGTGCCTACCCAGACTAATCCAAGTGGTCACCCACCCGCACACTGACCACAGCCAGTGATGCTTGAATTCGGTGATTTGGTGGGAAACGTGTCTTAACAGTCAGTCCACTGCGGGACTCGAGTGTTTGGAAATTAGTTCTGTGTTCTAGCGGATAAACTTAGAATCACATTTCATTAGTTGAGAAGAAGGACTTATTGGGACCACATTGGGGTGTTGTTGATTCTGAGTAGATGGAATCTGTGTAGATAAGTTTGTTTTGCAACGTCAACTCTCTAATGTTCTCCTGTTTTTAAGATATCCTTATTTATTGGTCATAAGAGTTATAAAAATTATTTTTAGTCTAGATTACTTTACTGTTACTAAAGATTTATATTTTATCAAATAGTAAGAATCTCGCCCACTGTTCTGTCTCGTTTCGATAACATCTGCTCTCGGAGATAGACACGGTACCCGATGTATATCTACGCTGAGGCCACGAAAGCTGAAATGCTGCAGAGGAAGAAGACAACTACACCCAAGGCTGAACAAAGGTTTAACGAGCCTCCGGGATAAAAATTTTGCGGGGCCTCTTCTTCGAAACTCAAAAAGCTTCATTTTCATATTTGTATATTCCCTTAAAAGAAATAATAAGCTATATATTTTTTGTAAGGAATTTTAGTCAGGACTACAACAGTCCCGGGGTAGAGGACAATTGTTCCTTTCTCTCCCTCATTGATTATGGCCTTGACTACATCACTTGTAAATTACATTCATAATTTCCTTAAATTGTCATATATAATAGAACCTCCTACCAACTTTTTCACGGAAATTTTGGCATTTCTACATTTTCAATGAAGTTAACATGGGTACCTGGTTTTATCCCCCTAGTGTGGTAAGACCGGGGGATTTGACTTCTTCTAGAAAAAAAAAATTCATTGTAAAATAAAGAAAAAAAGTATTACATCATTGTTGTTGTTGCTTTGGTTCATTTACGTCTCACTAGAGCTGAAAATGGGCTATAGGTGACGGCATGAGAAACATCCCAGAGGATGATCCCAAGACATGCCATCATAATTTTGATCCTCTGCAGAGGGGATGGCACCCCCACTTTGGTACCCCTACGACCTGCACGCGAAGTCGAGCACTTTACGTTAGAACAGTTTAAAGAGGACTGATATAGCTCAACCGCGGCTCCTATGCAGACTGATCCAAGTAGTCACCCACCCGCACACTGACAGCAGCCAGTGATGCTTGACTTCTGTGATCTGATGGGAATCGTGCCTTAATGATCAGTCCACTACGGTACAGCACATCATTGACTTTACAGGAATTATATATCGTACACATTTAAACAATGAATATCTTGATTAAATACGGCATTTTCTAGTTCAAACAATTTAGCTCCTTAGCCTTCGAATCTTAGCTACCAGATCTTACTCAACTTTCTCATCTGTAATATTTTTTTAATTATGTTTTACTTATTACTTTCAAAAGTGAAATATTCAGAGAATTACTGAGATGTTCTTTTCTCAGAAAAAGTTTAGTGAATGACTGTGAGGCTCCCTCCCTGTAGAATTACAAAGAGGTTTTCGGCATATTTAAGGTTTAATTTAATTATTTTTCATTTATTACAATTTTAGGTAAAATTTTTATAAAATTACTGAGGAGTTTCTCTTTTAGAGAGAGTTAAGAGAATTACTAAGTAGCTCCTCCTCAAAAGAATTACTATATTACTGATTACTTCTTATAATAAGAGTTTTAAAGAATTACTAAGGGGGCACCCCCTTCTCATGGCGCTCGCAAAACCCCATAAATAATAGTAATCATTTTTTACTTGGTGAAAAACAGTAAGTTAGACCGTAATTAAAAAAATCAACTCCATTCTAAGTTACCAAAATTTATATTGTTTTAACTTAAATTTGGTTCTAGAGGTTTCGTTTTCGACTCTATCGGAAAAAATTTAAATCTAATAAATTTTCTCCGTTACAATTTCAATTTCATTCACTAACCTGTTTCACAAAAACTTATTTAAATTGCTCTATACAATAAATACATGCTGAATATTGAACATTCGTTCGAAAATTAAATGCTTGATAATCTTGATGATTATTTAGTATTAATACGTTGTATTACAAACATCAATTAATCACTATTATACGAAAAATATAATATAAAAAATATATCTCATTTATAGTCTACTTTATAGTATAATGAACACTTTTAGATTTATGCACTTAAAAAATGAAAAATAAAATAAAAATTGAGGATAATAATGAGGAAAGTTATATTGAAATCAACTTTCTGGAAAATACTCTTAATTAAAGGATTGCTAATAATTTATAAATAAACACCGATATAATTATTTTTCAAGACACTACTTTCATAAAATTATTTTTCAAGACACTTTCACTATTACTTTCAAGACAGCTAAAAATATCTCAATCTTCTTAATTTATTACTGATGTATTCCTATTTTGAATAAATAATATAACTATAAAGTGATTGAAACATCTAGATAAATTTCACGTAACTATATGCATAGTTACATTAAAGTTTTTAACTTCATGCTACATTAAGAAAAATAATGTATGACATTGTACGCGGTATATTTGATACTATTGGAAAGACAACACACTGTTACATATATACAAATACTTGATATTGCCTAAGTTGGGTATAAAATTAATTTTGCTCCTAAAGGTATATAATTTTTTAAAGGACATTTTTAGTTTATTTTTTGTCAAAATGCACAAGTTTAAAAATGTTATATGTAATGGAAGGAGGCATAAATGTTAGGACCTACTTCCAGGGGAGTTAGAGCCCTTCATCAGGATTAAAACTGAGTAAGAAACCCTTACCCGGAAATATCGTCGTACGCGGCTAGGGGACGTTTCCTAGTATGACCTGCTCAGAAGCACACAAGGAAAAAGTTCATTGATGCTCTTTAAAAGTTTATCATGTGAAATCAGCTGTATGAAAGTATATAAGATCTGTTGAAAAAACTCATGCAACTGAAAAAAATAATTGCTCTCCCGTGTAATCGTTAAATTTAGATAAATTTTGCAAAACTATATGCATAATTCGATGAATGTTTTTAACGCTATGTTGCATTCAGAAAAATAAATAATTTTTACTGTATTGCAACTTGGAATAGATTATACAATTGGAGAAATTCAAAATTGGCATTATTATAATTTTATTTAATAAGAAACTAACTTTTCAAACTTATTGTGTTCACTGTAAAAATATTTACATGACTGCTGTATTCAATGTGTTAGTTTGATTAAAGATAATTTTTATCAACCCGTTTGATATCTATTGTTTTATCTCGAGACAATCACATGTCGGTAGAAAGCTTCTCTATCAATAACACAAATAGAAATTAGTGGCAGTGTTAAATACACGAAAAGCGAAAATTTCCCGACGAAGACATGGAGGAGTAAGAAGTTTTCTTTTATTTTTTTATTTTTATTTACTCTAATGATGTGATTTACTTATAGCTTTTATAGATGTTAAAGAAATTAATTTAATAAATTTTTTTTATTTCATTAAAAAAGCTCAATCACAATACATAAAGATCAGCAGACTGTCGTATTGTAATTTAAAAAAAAATCCTGTTCTTTGATACTTCCACCCGAATTTTGAATTGTGTCAGACTAATTGAAAAAGTTTTAAGGACTTATTGAACAGAATATTTTTAGGCTTATTATAAATACATTTTGAATAACAAATCACTACATTATATACCTTTATATAATCATTACATATACTTACTACCCTTTGGATAATTAAACAGTGAGCGAAACTCTACTTCATATTGAATTTTTTTTAGGTATATTGCAGTTAACCTCTCATAAAGCTATTTAAAATGAACCTTCGTTACTTTGATCGCATTGCAAATCAGACTAATTATAATTTTTTCCTGGTTATTACAGTTAACCTTTTATAACACTATTTATGAAAAACATTTACCACTCTGAGCCTAGTGCAAATTAAATTAAATAGCCCTTACTGAAAGAGCAATAAACTACCAACTCACCACGTTACATTAGACTTATTTTTAAAATAACTTAAAGTTATGTTGGTTATTTTATTTTATAACCGTCGTTGAACAGCCGACCCAATTTAGGGTTTACTAACACTGTTCAACTCCGAAGCCTTATGATTTTGAACCCAATCCAAAAGACAAGGGAACTTCTGGATCAAGTATTGGGAGAAATTTGCCTCTGTGGAGGACTTTTTGAAGAAACTAACCCGCATTTACGTTGCATGGAGAGGAAAAACACGAATTAACATAACGTCAACGAGGACACTAATCCATGATCAATAGCCATGACTGATAACCACTGAGGCTATTTTATGTCAGCACTGTGGTCGATGCGAGTGGGTGACAGCCATGGTTCCAGACGAATGGCTAAGGCAGTTCTCAGTTTAGATAAACAATATATCAGTTGTTATAACGGAAGGGTCATTTTAATGGAAGATCTTGTTAAAGAGTGTAGACTGTATGACTTAGTGACTCCAAGATTATTGAGCCAGAAATGTTTAAGTCTACAGACTACACGATTTTAACTACCCCTGGTAAAGAACATATTACATGTTTTTCTTTCACAACCCTTTTGATTTAGGTTTTTTGTTGTTGTATAAGAATAGATTTCTAAACATTTTCATGATTTTCGTTTAGCTTTAAACCTGTAAATATTGCCTATAATGTATTTGAGCCAAGTAGTGGTGCAGATGGCACATTGTCCCCCATTATCTTCCTCCATGGGATCACAGCTTCAAAAGAATACTGGAATGATATACCTCAAAGAATTGCAGATAAAACCAAAAGAACGGTAAAGTTTCATTCTATATTTGTTAATAAAGAAGTTTGAGTTTAACAATTGATGTATGCTTGAAATCAAATATCTTTTATGAAAGTACAAATTTTGTTTTAAAAATTACATCTAATAATTCGTCTATGGGAAATATACTAGTGTTAATCTTATTATCGATTTCTAGCAATATTATTAGAATGTTTCAATATTATTAGAATTTTAAAAATGTTTTTCGAATAAAAATATTTAAAAAAAAAACACTTAGTTTAAGTGCGCTACACTTGAGACAGAGTTCATATTTTCATAGTTTTTTAACCTATGAAATTCTGACGTGAAAATTCATAGCCGCAAAATTTCATAGCTTTTTAAACTAAGAAATTTTGCCGTGAAGAATTATCTAAGTTTTAGAACGGGCAAATAATTTAAATATTTTAAAAATCATTACTGTTTATTTAAAAATTGCCAATGTGGCGAGAATTTTTTTGAGCAAAGAATTTTTCTACATCCGAAAGAAAAATCAGTCCATCAAAAGTAAAATCCCTATCCCTTCCATTCAAAAGTAAAATCAATCAATAATTCTCTATTGTTGTCCAGAAAATACAGCGTTTGAGTAACTGCTTATTAGTTAAATACATATTAAATGCTTTTCATTTCCTTATAGCTGTGGTATATCTTTAACCTGACGTTTTCTCCATTATAAGAAATAGTTTAGAGGGTGACTGATTAAAAATATTCTACAGTTGATCTAACAATCATGAAAAGCTGTTGCAAAAAGCAGTTATGAAAATATGAATTATAAAAATATGAATTTATGAAAGTTATAGGAGCAATTTATTTTAATTAAGATTAAATTAAAATAATCAAATTTTGCGCTACCCGCAGAGGAAAACCGCGAAAATGTTTTTCAAATCGCTTGGCTGTAATAGGATTCCAGCTAAATGTTCATCATTATCTCAATGACATTATTTTTTTAAAAACAACCCTTTTTTATTAGATAGGGTATCATCTTTCTGAATGTAACGAAAAGCTCTTCTTATTAACTCAACCCATAAAGCAAAGTAAGTCGTAATTTAAGTATCGAAGTACAATTATATTTATGAAAGCTAAAAAAATAGCCTATTTTAATCAAGATTAAATTTAAATTATAAAATTTTGCGTTACATGCTATGGAAAATCACGAAAATGCTTTTCAGATCGCATTTATATGTAATAAGATTCCAGCTAAATGTTCATTATCTAAAAGGAATTATATTTTAATAACTAATTTTTTTTTTTATCATCCATGGCTTATCATCTTTGTGAATTCAACGAATCCCCTTCTTATTTTTAATTCAACCCAGAAATCAAAGTAACTCACAATTTAAATATCGGTGTACAATCATATTCACGAAAGTTATAAGAATAATTTATTTTAATTAAGATTAAATTCAAATAATCAAATTTTGCAACACAAGCAAATGAAAACCTCGAAATTGTTTTTCAGATTTCTTGACGGTAATAGGTTTCCATCTAAATGCTCATTATAGAAATGAAATTATTTTTTGAAGATCAATAACTTTTTTTATTATTCTTGATTTATAACTTAACATCTTAGTAAATGTTGTGAAATGCTCTTCTAGTTTCTGACCTTTTTTGTATTTTTGTACACAGCCCAGATATCAAAGCAACTTCTAACTTGAGTAACATGAGTAAAATCATATTTTGAAAGACTTGATTATATAAAGAAAATCATATTATGAAAATAATTAGGATTTACATTACGGATAAATTAAAACCGCTAAAATGTTTTAATTACTAAGTAATTGAACGCCAACAAACGATAATGAGACTCTATCTCAGAAATTATAAACATTTTCTAATTTATTGTACTTTTTATGAAATTTAATGTTTTGTACAGCTTAGATAGCTTGCAAAAATGTTCTTTATTTCATTTCATTTATTTATTTCATTTAATTTACTTAATTTTTTGTAAGTACTTAAATTGTGTTTTCTTATTTCAAGTATTAGAATTTCAGAATAATAGAAAAAATTAATTTTCTATAATAAATTATTTTCTCTTTTTGTTTAAATTTTTAAATTTACAAATTATAAATCTTTAAAAATTACGGGAAAAAATGTGTTAAAAAATTTACGAATTTCAGTTTTTCTGACACAGAGTCAGAATCTTATTAATTATTATCATGGCAATTTATAAAATTCAAACAAAAAAAGAACAAATTATACACAACTGCTATAAAGAAACAACTTCAATGAAGTTTTGTTTAGGTAAACTGCTCCCTAGAGGCCGTGGATATTGAGTAGAAACTAATTACTTGACCAGTGATATCAAAGTTTATCATGATGTCTGTTTGGTCGAGTGATTGATTTATTCGAATTCCGCGAAATGAGCTTTTTTTTTTGACCGCTTAACACCGCACAAATAGTGTATTTTTAAGAAAAAAAACAATCTGCTAATTTGTCCGGATCTTTCACATTTTTTACTTTGCAGTGTTTCCAATAGATGTCTCTAGTAATCCAAGAGAGATAGGATTATAAAACAATTTCAAGGACAGGTTTTTCTGAACTTCATTTAAGACGGTGAATTTCACTTGTTCAATGTATTATGCTTTGTGAATAATACTTCTTATTTATCAATTTTGTCATGCAGTGTAAAATAAAGACTGACAATAAGTTGTTCATAACAGAATGTCTATCTCGCGTTTTAAAGCTGAATTTTGAAAAGAAATAAAGATTTAAGTATTCAAAATATAAATAGTTTTCTTTCTTCCATTTTATCCCCTGTAAAATGTTTTCGTTTTATTTTCTTCGTTTTATACCTTCAAAGTTTTATGTAAAAATGCCAAATTTTCGCAATAATTAAAAATTATCAGAAATTAATAAAGTATACTTGTAATCGTTTTGATTGCCGATTTGAATTAATATATTCGGTTAGAATACAATGTTTTTTTTTTAAAGAAAACTATGCTCATTTATGGTATAGCGGGAAAATGGAATAGTTAAGTAGTTAAATATTTCAAATTGAAGAGTAATAACCCAATTAAGCATTAATTTAACTCAAAGCATATTAGTAATTATTTTTTAACATATCTGCTATTTTCAAAATATTTGACAAATTGTTTCAAAAGTTTTGAATGGATGGACAGCATTTTAAGTTTTTCTTTAAATGACTACTAACTGATTTTAATTACCTGAATTAAAACATCATTTGCTTCAAAAATATATAAAAACAAAACTAGAACAACCACTCTGATTTTTCGAGTTTTGTTTCTCAGCTCTTTTTTTCATTCTCCGTTAATATCTTTGCATTTTATACTTAAAAACACTTTTGTTTCTTCTCATATACGCCTGACGAGTTTTGAAAATGGGTGCCTGTTTTGGAGCGCTTGAAATATGTAAACTTGCTATTTCTTATATAAATATTTTTGAAGCGAATAAAGTTTTTAATCAGATAATATATTACCGCTTCAGTTTCTTGGGATTATTTATTTAAAATGACACAATTTATTTAATATAAGTTTTTATTTTGCTTTTCAGGCGTACACCTGTGATGCAAGAAATCATGGAGAGAGCGATTACAACGATGAATTTAGTTTTGATCTGAATATTCATGATCTCCTTCACTTTATGGACACTAAGAACATTTCAAAGACTATTCTAGTTGGACACAGCATGGGAGGTGTGACGGCAATTCATGCAGCCCTGAAGAAAGTGAGAATTTCCTTTTCCTGTATTTTTAAAACATGTTATTTTCATAACATTATTTTGTTAACTTAAAATTAATGATATATTGATATTTTCAAAGGATATTGTTTCACTGTAAGAAAATCTCTTAAAATTTACGATTTGAAACTTTCAACTGAATTGGTTGTGGAAAACTGTAAAACTTACGAAACAGATCCGTAGCCTCAACGATGTTTTACCATATAAGGAGAAGTATTTTGGGTAAAAATTACGAGATACTACAAAATCTTATACATTCTTTGTCGCAACTGTCTTTTAAAAATATAAGAACAAGTTTTCTTCGTAAAAATTCCATAGTCAGGATGATTCTTTACCATACCAAAACAAGCTTTTTATGTAAAAGTTATAAAGTAAATCTCTACACGCACCTGATAAGGATACTTTATGATAGCACTGTGGTCAAGGCGAGCTAGGAGCAGAATTCGTATCACCAAGTCATTACTGGTATTTAAACCTAGATCACCGCAGTGAAAGGAAAACGCTCTGTCCCTTGAGCCATTGCAAACGGATTGTATTACTATGAAGAAAAATTTGAAACTACCTTTATCTTTTAAGTGTTACTTATTGAAATTGTTTCTTAAAAAAGTTTAACTCTTTCAGGGGCTGTGAGATGAAAACTGCCCGACTTACTTTTTACTGTGATATAAAAGACAAAAATTTTCATAGTTCTTATCTCTTAAACAACGTGGCTTTTAACCAACCACTTTTCCTTTTAAAAAATCTTAGGAAAAAGCAAATCTCATTGTTATGGATATGCATACGATGACCGCAATTCCCTTGGTTAAATTTTTTGATGAAAGTTTTCTGCATTGCAAGGGGTTAAAACTATAGGGGCCGCCTTGTTGCTATTCGAAACTTAACGCAACAAAAAAAAATTATTTCAAAAGAAAGATAATAATCAGGTAGAGTATCAATTAGATAATGAAGGCGAATTTTTTATTTTATTTACGCAATGTTTAAAACCATAAAATACTTGTTGAAAAGTAAGAACAAGTACAGAAAATAATGGTAAAATGATTTCAGAAAAGGTAAAGTTTCGTACGGTAAGCTAAAACTAGAATGCGTACTGACGTTTATTACTAAGGTGAAAAACAGTTTTCCCAATGAAACAGTTTTAAACCGTCAAATATGTGAAGAATGTCTGGAATAAACTGATACTTTTTACAGCATAGTATCGATACATAACATGTACATGTTCAATAAGTATTATTATCTTACGTATTCAGATAGAACAGTCATCAGTTTAAAATAGATTAAACAAACACAATCACTTAAAAACAATTTTACATTTCGTGGTACTTTGGAAAAACAAAATGAGTATATATTTTTGAAGATGAATAATTCTTATGAGTTCGTTGGAATTTAGAATGTAAAAAGGTCTTTCACATATTTTTGGTATAAACTATGATTAAAATTATTGAGATGTTTTAATCACCGAAGCCTAAAAACGACAAAATTCCAACTATCACTGATTTAAATAAAAGATTTGGGTGTTTTGATGATTTTGTGTACAATTCTTTTACTTTATTTGAAGTCACTGACAAATTTTTTGTCTTAGGGCAGTTTACTTTTTTGGTTTTTCATTATTAGGGCTGCTTATTATTTTGTATGGGCCTCTATGCCAGTGAGTTAAATAGATAAATCTATGATGCCAGACGTGTATTGGAAGGCAATGGAAATTCCTGCACAAATTTATCTGTAAGACTTTTAATATTGAAGTAAAACTTCGAAGTCAATCGGTTGTATCGTTCCTGTGAGAAAACAATTTAAGATAACTGAATGATGCTTGTGATTATAGTTTTCTTTTAAAACTTCAAATTGTCATAATGCAGTTCGATTAATATTGCACCAATTTAAGTCAAATGATGATTTTTGCATGAAATTTGCATGAATGTATTTAATTGTATTGTTCACTTACCATACCATTAACAACCTTCTGTAAAAATATATATAAAAAACAAAACAACAAAGAAGAACGTATTTAAAAAAAGTGCGGCTTTGAGGAGAACTCCTCCAGACTGACAGTCTGGGGCTGTCTGCTGGTATGGTAATAAGCGAGAGCACATTTCTAATGGGGGGGGGGATGGAGGAAAGAATGTGTGGATTGCTTAACTCATGAGGACCTACGCTTAGATAAAGACAAAACGATTCACCCCATAACCCTATTCGAAGTGACCTTTCCTCGTAGCCATAGTACCCGCCACGACGTATGACGGGTGTCTGGAGGAGTTCTCCTGAAAGCCGCACTATATTTTTCATTGTTTATTTTCAATTTTTGTACCTCTGCACTCTTAGAAAAATTGGTACCAAGTTTAATTCTAATATCAGTATCTTGAACTATTATACGATGCAAATTCACAGCAATCGTTGTCTTTGTATAATCAAGTTTAAAAAATAATATATTGTTTTTATGGCTTAGTCCTATATTAAGATAACAGAAAATACGAACGATATTATGGTTAAATAAGTTCCAAAAATTCTAACGGTGTATTAGTGAGGCATTCTGAGTTTTGTCTTTGATATCTGAACCAACAATTTTCTTACTCTAATCTGTTACTGCTTTAGGACTTATCGTATAAAAATACTTGACGATTTAATTTCATCATTTCAGCCTGAGAGAATAGAGAAGATTTTCGTGGAGGATATGTATGTTAAGAGATTTCCAAGAGCATTCACAGATGCTGGTTTACCTCTTCTATGCATGAGAAAAGAAAGTACTCAACACATGCCGAAAGGATTAAGTGAAAAAGACGCAATGGAATTTTCGAATAATTTTATTATCGAAAAGATTCCAAAGGACAGTGTAAGGCTACTATGATTTAAACAATTAATAATAAACATGCTTTTATTTAAATTCCTTTATTTCAGTTTTTATAATTTTTTTGTTGTCCTTAATTGTAGTTATGATTTAACTTGTTATTTGTGCTATATTTCCTGAACATATACTTGATATACAAACTGCTTCTGTGATTTTCCTTTCATATTTCGCTAAAAATTTGTTTTATGAAACGGAAGATGATAGAGTTTGTTCTTCTCCTTTTTTACGTTTTTTTCAATGTAAATTACATTTTCTCTAATATATTGTTTCGTATTTTCATTTTATATTTCTCTTACATGTATCGTACTTGTAAGTGATATATAAATATAATATTATGAGATGTAATTTACTGTTGTATTTACTTATTTTCTTTCATATTTCGCTCAAAATTTATTCTGTGAAAAGGAAATATGATAAAGTTTGTTTTTTTCCTTCTTATGTTTTTTTTCAAAGGTAATTTCATTTTCTTTTACATATTGTTTCATATTATTCACACTTGCAAGTGTAATACATTATTATTATGTTATGAGATGTAATATACTATAGGTTTTCCTATCATTTTTCATTCAAATTTTTTTTCTGTGAAACGGAAGTATGATAAAGTTCGTTTTTGTCCTTTTTATGTCTTTATTTAGAAGTAATTTCGTTTTCTCTTATGCACTTTTTCATAGTATTATTCGCACTTGCAAGTGAGATATATTATTATTATGTTAAGAGATATAATTTAATTTCATATTATGTAACTAATATGCGTGGAAAAATATTTTGGGAGTAACAATATTTTTTGGAATACATTTCGTTATTAACTTGATACTGAACTGCTTTCTTGTACTATACCAGCATTATTTATTTTTAATCAAAACACCCTATAAAAGGCCACATGGGAAAAAAAACTTTTTAAAAGCATTTTTTAGTTTAAAATTAATTTCATCTATTTTAGAAAGTATCAGTTGTTTACAAATTTTAAAACATTTTATCTAGGGAGACGACATATTTCGTAAATTTCGTAAAATAGGGCATTTCGTATATAAGTTATATTGTTGAAAAGTCCCAAATTGTTTTGTATTTTTTAATATTCCTAAAAAGTAAAAAGGGCATAGTAAAACGCCCTATTTAAAAAGCTTCTGGAAAAATTAAAAACGCAAAAGTCTATGCTGAAAAAGAGGTAATAAAAAAGAGGTAACGTTTTTTTAAAATTTTTAGATTGAAATTTTAAAAAAAATTGCAAAAAATAAAATATACTTTTCAAATTTATTTCAGTTTGCACCCTTTAAGAATACATTATTAATTTTATAATTGAATGCGAAATGAAGTGAAATTCAGTGTTTTTGTTCTGAAGAGTTAATCAAATGAACTCTTCAGATCATTCCTATTGAAATTTTTGAAGCATAAAAGTAAATATTCCTTACACCAAAACGATCGGTGCTTGTTCCTATTAATCGGCAATCATAGACATTGCTTTGCATGCTCGAAAAATAAACTTAAATGATTTTTTGCTTTAGTTTGGGAATATTTTAAAAATTAGATCATCTTCAAGTATTTTAATAATGATTAGAGTACGCGAATATCATCGAGGAATGTGATTATGTTTGACGATGACTAAGAGATCAAAAAATCTCCAAGTTTGTTTGCATTAAAAGCGACAAGGTCTTTACAGTTGAAAAGTAGCTGTTGATTTTGGTACTAGGCATAACTAGTATTATGGTAATTGGTGCAACTTAAATAGGTCAGAAATGTACAAATTTAGCCTGGTTGGGCTCATGTTCGTGAGAACGGGAGCTCGAATCCCACTGGCTGAAAAATTCCTGTGTATTAAATGGTGACTGGTACATGTAACAAATGCTCATAACAAATCAATATGCTCATAACAAATCAATACTTCTGGGGGTACTGAGTTGGCGATAGATTAATTTCTGGTTCAGATCAAATGGATGTTCTGTGGATAAGTGAATGGAGTATAATAGGACTGGCTAACTGTAAAACTGACGTGTGTATGGCTAAAGCTTTATTCGTGGCCATAGATGGCGCCACTGAAAAAACAGGAAATACACCTTTTACCTTAAATTTGCTGGAATTCACCAAGCACATTTGCTAGTAGTTGGTAAGTGGCATTAGAATATAAGGTTTTGGGAGATATTTAAGGAGTATATTAAATGTGCGAAAATGGGAAAACAACAGAAGCTAGACTTTGATATGCTCATAATAGTACGAAATAATGCAAAATTTCCCAAAATTATACCCCTCTCTATTTTTTATTTTTTTGCAATTAATGTGTTTTTATAAAAACAGATTTAAAAAAAAGCGAATTTAGCTATCGTATTTATTTTATGATCGTATTTACACTATCGTATGATCATCAAAGTAGAAAAATTATTTTGTTTCAGATTGTATATTTATAAACTCTTGTGTGATTTCTATTGAAAGTGAATTAGTTTTGTATCACCAACTCTTCATGGAGATTTGCACCACTGCTGTAGATTGTTGGATATAACTATGCGCAATAGAAAGACGAAATCTATATAAAATGTGGTTTATTACTTTTTATCTCCTTGAACTTCATTTATAAATTTAACATTTCAGCCGTTATATTCAAAACTGGATGACATCCGTAAATCTAGAGCAAGTTTCAGGAGAAACCCGGATGGAAGTTTTGAGGTCAATTACAACTTTGATGTTATTGCACGAGCTCTTAAAGACTATGACACATTAGCCAGCGAACCCGAAGGTCATTATGATGGCCCAGCATACTTTATATATGGCCCATTATCCATGTTTGCCGTGTAAGTATATGTTGCTTTTCGTTTCTGTGAATTGTTGATAAAAATTAATCTAGCACCCCAATGATGAAAAAAAAACATTCGTTAGTTTATTGTTAAAAATAAATGTGTAAAAAAGCTTTTTGCGTATTGAAAAAGGTTAAAAATTATTTTTATTACTCATATGTGAGAAATGTGACGGAATGGTGAAATGGTTTAGAAAGAAATTTTTGTTTCAGATTTTCAAACACAATTTATATTCAGTAAGGAGCTACAGCTGTAGCTCCTTACCGAATATACCTTTATAAGCTCCTTACCTTTCCTAGGACGTAAACCTAGATAGTTGTCGGTTGAGTCTGCTTTAAATAATAATAAATATTTTTAAAAAATGTTTTTTTAAATGTACAGTAAGCAAAAAAATACCCAAAACACATCAAACTTTTGATTTTATGATCAGATTCAATTTTAATGGTTCGGGAAGTGATTTAAAATAGGCAGATGATATTTTAAGTTACGAAACCGACACAAAAACGTACTTTCTCTGAACGAACCTATCTTTTTTGACGGTTTTTGATTCTTGATCACCAAAAGATGGGAGCAGCAGCAATCTGGGAAATATGCCCCAGTTTGTTATATATAGTTTGGGAAATATGCCCAGTTACATATAATTTGGTCAGGAGAGCTGTTGAAAGTTTTGACCCCTTGACGTTAACTTTTGCTTTTTGTCCATGAACGCTGTCTCAGGGTGAAAAAAATAACTTGCTCACTGGCAGGAACTATTCCACTTCACCATGTGAAAACTCACAGAAAAGACCTATTTCCAAGTTATTGATTTGCTAATACCTATCCTCATAAATCCTCAAAATGCAACATATGGCAATCAAATCATGATTTTTGCTAAAAATGGAATTAAAACCCTTCTTTCCTCTTGAAGATTACTATTGAATAAGAAGTAAACACAGTGGTTGATGAGCGAAGCCCCTATAACACATTGAAGTTTATTTAAATAAAACTGAAGATTATATGAATTTCTAATGAAAACAGTAGCGCGAGAGCATTAGTGTTGAGGACAGAGAGTGGATAAAACATGTTATTAAACATATGGAGGAAACTGGAATAGCATTAGAATGTTTGCTAGTTGAACAAGGGGGCACGCTTTCAAAAATTGTAGTATCTACCAGAAACTTGGTGAGTATATGTATCTTTTATGAAATTCAGTTCATGCATAAATTGCTTTGGCAATAGGAATTAAATTTAAAAGTAACCTCAAAAATTCATAATTGTAGGCAAACATGTAACAAAATACTCAAATTTCTAATAATTCGTTAAAAATCTGTCTCTATCTTCTGAGTATATTTTTGGGGGTTAAGTAAAATTTTAATTTTTATCTGTGCGAGTTTTTTTTTTTATAGCCTTGGTTTGTTTTCTACTTCGTATCTTCTTATATCTTTTTATCACTAACAATAAAATAATCGGAGCGAAATCTGATTGTTTTAAAATTTTAGAATAGTTCTAAATGTTCTAAACAGTTGTGACACACTGTATCGTATCTAAAATAATTATGCCGATTGGCTACCTTAAATCGGAAATATAGGTTGAAACGAAAAAAATAAAATCCTTTGCATAAATTTTATGTTTGAAAATTATGAAATATTTAACATTTACTAATTGTGACATTTGTTTTAGTTATGTTAATGAGTCGATTCAATATAATATGTTATGATTAGCAATTTTTTTTTCTTCATTCTAGATACAATGAGGAAGAATCAATCCGAAAGCATTTTCCGAACGCTGAACTAATTGGTATTCCAGGTGCTGATCATAGTGTTCATATTGAATTCCCTGACGAGTTTGTTGCAAGTGTTTTAAAATATCTGTGATAATAAATGCTGCATAACGATTCAGTTCGTTGAGAGTGTTTTGAAAATATTTGTGATACTAAATGCTTCAAAACGATTGAGTTTGTTGAAAGTGTTTTAAAATACTTGTGATAATAAAAGCTTCAAAAATGATTTGAGCACGTTGAGAGTGTTTTAAAAATAATTGTGATACTAAATGTTTCAAAATGATTAAACTTACTGAATAATTTGGAGCATCTTTATTATTTTCAATTTACTTTTTGGTAGTCTGATGCAGTTGATTTTTTTTATACTGCAGTCTCCAATGAATAGAGAGCTATCACACTCTGTACACTTTTGCTCACCACTCTGCAAACTGAATTCGTAGTTTCTTTCGAATCGCTTAAAATACTAAACTCCGTTGCAAGTTAAGAAAAGAACATTGCGGTATAGGATTTAAGTAATCATATAGCCAAATCAAATCTATCAAAAATCTAACACATTATATAAGTTTGCTTTCAAAACAATATAAAAGCTTTTAAAAGTTGATTCATCGGACAGAAATTTAATTCGTGCTATTTTTTATAAGCGAAAAGAAAGCCGTGCTACGTCATTTCAAGAGTTGGCGATGTTGATTGGAGCTTGGAATCCATTTAGCGTGCACTTTAGATGCAAATAGGCTCTCTCCATTGGGGTGATGGTTTTTTCTTAGCTTGCAACAGAGTATAGTTACTACGTGATTTGGTATTAGTTATACGTTAAGTAATTCACGGAATAGTTAAAATAACCTATTTAAACAGCACATAAAGCAAAAACTATGCAATTAGCTTCCAAAAGCAAAGATGGAAATTTATAACTTAAAAAAATAAGTATTAAGTATATATATCTATTTCAGTTTTAAATTATGTCTTCTTTTTTTAAAAATTCTAGTGCTTAAGAAATTGCAAATATTGGATACATATATTTCCATAAATTGAATGATGGTGAGACATCAGGGAGAGGGAGATTGCAATTTTAAGATGTTTCTCTTGAATTTTTTTTTTCTTGTTTGCCTTATATTAATGATTATTTTATTCCTCGTTGAAGACATTTTTAATTATCTCGAATTCTTGATTCGCAAACTTGGTCTTGATTTGATTTCGAAAGTAAAAAAAGAAATAAATAAACAAAAAGTACGAGAGAGAAATAACAGATCTCATCATAGCAGTGTTTATTATAAGAAATTTTGAAAATATATATTAAAAAATTAATTAAAGAGTTCAAGAAATACAAAAACGGTTTCTAATTTTAATTTATATAATGACGTAAGGTTATCGTTATAAATTGTTGAACAGTAACTTTTTTTCTTCTTTTTTTCATTTTAATTGCATTACACATTCTATTTTAATTTTTTTTTTATCAAACGCAGTCAATTATTTTTCAAATCCAGGTAATCAATCTGTTCATTAAAATTATCATATTTAAGAAATGTGCTTACATAAAATAAAATAATTATATAAAAAATTAAAAAGAAAAAATTAACAAAAAGTTAAATATTTAAAAAAAAAAACTATTAAAAAGGAGTAGTAACGGAGGTTGGTGGGCGGAATGAGATGGGTTGAAGCCTTTTAATTCACTAAAAAATATAAATACGCTGTAATAAAATTTCAGAGTATTATAACAGCAGAAATGGTGGTAACTTCTTTATACCTAAGAGGTGAAGGAAAACACCATTTATAATTCTTGGTTCTTAGTGCTTCATTACACCAGGAGAATATTCTTTCATTTTCCTTGCAGTACTCAATTCCGTGAGAAATTACGATATAAAGTATATTTTATAATAAAGTATACTTTATACCTGAAGCGACAGTATACCGGTACTGCGGGAGAATCATTCTTAAAATCCATTTTACTGTAAAATGGATTGGAGTATTAATTTGATTAGAGTGCTTAAATGATTTTTCGGTAATTATTCCTGTTTAATTAACAGTATAGCAGATGAAAAGTGTTCCGTAACATTGTCTGGAAAATTAGCAACACTATCCTGTAATGTTGTTTCTTGTTGTTTCTAATCCCCAAGAGGTCCATCCCAATTAGACCAATTCCATAAGTCCAAAAATGTCCAGGAAGTCTAAAAACAGATGAGGTTCTGAAAAAACCTCGTCGATCTTAAAATCGACACAGTTTAGAATATGCTCGGGCGAAGCCTGAGCAGTCCTACATTTAGTGCAAAGTCCAAAAGTCTTTTGCCCCTGAACATACGAGAGACACCTCAAGTGACCACTTGCAAAGCGATATAAACAAATCTGCTGGCTTCTAGGTCCCTCAAAAAGCAAGGCACTTCCAGGTCGTTTTCTGAAATACCAACTATGTGGAGGAGGAATCCTCCAGAGGTCCATAAACATTTTTTTGCACTCTGAAAAGACCTCGTTGAAAGTGGAAGGTAGATCTGGATGTAGAGGTTCCAAAGAAGCATCTTTAGCCAGTGAGTCCGCCATCTCGTTACCTTTGATTCCAACGTGTGATGGAATCCATTGGAAGTGTACTCCAAAGTCCGCAGAGAGCGTGAAGAGCATCCCCAAAATTGAAGCCGCAGCCCTGTCTCCAACATTCCTCCAGTTGCTAAGGCACCTGGTAATAGCAGTCCGTAATATTATCCTATAACGATATTTTATTCGGTAATAGTAAAATTACCCTGTAATCGTAGTAATAGTAAAACGGTTATTTGGGTGCATATTATATAAAATCCATTTAACCGTAAAATGGATTGGAGCATTTATTTGATTTGAGTCTTTCAGTGATTTTTCGTTAATTATTACTGTTTAACTTACAATGCATCAGATTTCCGTTCCGTAACATTGTTCGGTAAAAAAAGATTTCAAGAGATAGATTTTAAAATTTCCGGCGAAAATAGATTAAAAAGTACCAGTTCATTGAGTCCCGGTATTTAGTGCCTTAATTTGATACGAAATATTTTACAGGTAAGGTACTGTCATCGTTTTTTGTTCCGTAACACCAAAAGTTATAATTACAGACACACATAAAAGTGAATAAAAGTTATTGTTATTATAATTTGTAAATTAAACATATGCGTAGCACAAAGAAAATATTAAAACAATTTTGAATTAGATTTAAGAAAACCCAAGCGAGAGGTACCGTACATTATTAAACTATTTTAGAGAGTATACAGACATTTAAAAATTAAAATATCTTTATTATACATCTAGAAACAGATATACATAATTTAACTGCGAACTTTTATTCAGAAGACATTGTATAGCAGCGTAGAAGACAACAACAAACTCAACAACTACTCGTCCTGGATTTTAAATACTTTATTGGCGATATGCAAAACACGCCTACATTGGTGTTTTCGGAGCTTGGTTTAATCGTTTCAGACGTTAAATGGTTAGATTAAAACATTTAATTTATGAAAGTATATGATTTATACTGAGCATAAGTATACATAAATCGTATATGAAAGGGCTATTTGGTATTAACTAAAAATGAAATTTACCTTTATACTTTACACAGGGTTGTACAGAGCGCAAAATAAAAAATGGACCACTCTGAATAACTTTTGATCTAATGATCGAATCTTCATTTTTCTGAAACTCAATCTTCATGGTTCAAAGGAGTGACCTGAAATATGCTAATTAATTGATGCAGACAATATCTCAAGTTACGGAATCAGACACAAAAACGTACTTTCTCTGATTAAACATACGTTTTTTACGACTGACCCAATCGAGGGTAGTCGCAATCTGGGAAATATGGTCCCCAATAGTTGGATCAGGAGAACAATCCAAAGTTTGAGCACTTTAATTCTACTTTTTGCGTATTTTGTCATATTTGGAGAATTTTGTAAGAGCATTGAAAAAATTTTGCCCGCAATTATAGAATTCATTTATCGAAAGGTAATTTCATGCAAAAAGTAACTTTTAGTAAATATTTAGCAATTTTTATTATTTTAATTAATATTAGTAAAAAAAATTGAATTTTAAGGAATAAACCTTTTCATATCATTTTAAAGAATATAATTTCATATGGCAAAATACAAAAATTAAGTGAAATCAGAACGGGAAGACCCAATTATTAGACCTAAAGTTATTAAGGTTCGTCGTTTTTCCATTTGCGCATTGTACAACATCAAATTTAGAGTAATATTGCAGCACAGGTAAGATAAAAACCGAAAATTCGAATGAAGAAAATTTTGCATTATTTAAAGTATCTGTTACATCTTCCTTCCATTAAATTAAATTTTTATCTTGCGATAGATGGCGCAGTGTGCGCATCTGTAAGGATACATAGCTTTTCTCTTCAGTGTTGCCAGATTGGGCTACAAGTAGCGGATTGGGCTACTTTTAAAAGTCCCCGCTACTGAAAATCGAATTTGGGCTACCCGCTACTTTTTGGGCTACTTATTATTTTTCGAGTGCTACAAATCTTAAAAATGCGCTACTTTTTTCCTCACAGAAATATATATAAATTTTTTTAAATTTTCCCCTTCCCATTATAAGATGATTCTGAAAGTTTGCAGTTTCTTTACCTTTTTCAAGGAAGACATTTTTCGTTGTTGTTAAAAACGCTTTAACTTTAGATTTGGATTCTTGATTNTAATAAAATTCAATAAACCTATTAGACCTAAAGTTATTAAGGTTCGTCGTTTTTCCAGTTGCGCATTGTACAACATCAAATTATTCAGAGAGATATTGCACCACAGTAGTGTAAGATAAAAACTGAAAATTCGAATGAAGAAAATTTTTCATTATTTAAAGTATCTTCGAGTGAACTGTGAAGCTTGTTGAGAAAAACACACACTTTAGAAGTGTTCTCAAACTTTGTTGGTAACTTGTATATGACTAATCTATCAAATAAATGTAATGTTTCATATTTTTGAAAAGTTTCGCCATCGTTTATTTTAGAAAAATTAACAAAAATTAAAAACTTTTAGACATTTAAAAACAAATATCTAGAAAATCTAGGAAAATACATATAAATGAAAACGGAAATTGTTAGATGTTCCCTTTATTAAACGATTTTATGCTGGAAAAATGATTGACAGCATCAGTATGATGTTATTTATAATTAAAAGTAGCTTTCATTATTTGAAATCAAATTTCGTTCCTTTTTTTTAAAATAATGAATGGAAACAATATTCCATGATTTTTATTGCTATTTTGCAATCGAAAAACTAACTGCTCAGCTCCCATATTAACGTCCGCAGTGTTTAAATCTAGTGAAATAAAAATTGCCTGGAAAAATTATTAGCTTTTTGTCGAAAATTTGCTGAATTGCTGTTATGTTCATACATAATTGCTGAATTGCTGTTATGTTCATGATTGCTTAAGAACATAATAGCGTCTAGAACATTCTGTTCTAGGCGCTTCCTTTTTATTATATTTTACATTCACTTTAAATGCTCTCACTGGAACTGGCTAGTCAGTTATTCGAAGTCTGTGGTCAAAATATGTCTGATGCCATCACACGTTTTCACTTTCATTTGAACTGCTCATACATTTAAATTGAATGAATTACATGCAAATCAAACATATTATTTTTAAGAAGATAATTTTAATGATTCTATGGCTGAAGATCATTCTTTTAGAAACTTTAGCAAAGCCTCGGTAAATGGAAGTGGAGCATCTGTATGAACGCTGTGAGAGGCATTTTCAATACCTACGAAGACAGCATTTGGAAAAAAACTTTTAATGGTTTTCTCGTCTTCTCCTCTGAAAGCAAAGTTTTAAAAAAACTAGATTAATAATAGAAAAAAATCTTATGAAAGTATTTAAAATTTATTATTGTGCAGTTATTGAGTAACTGTTGGTTTTAAACTACTTATTAAATTCTAATGAAATTGAAAGGTAAATCATATGGAATTTATATAAAATTAAAAAGTTGTTCAGTAGCATTATGCACCTTGAAATATCATTTTTTTTTTATAAAAAAACATAAAACATTTAGGTTCGATTCAAATTTGTCACCGTTACACTTTGTGTAGTGTTACAATTACTCTTTTATATGAATCTTTTCTTTACTTTTTTAAACCCTTATTTCCTCTTAATTTCATAACAGGTGGAGTTTATTCTGTGCGATAGTTTCAAATGATTTTTCTTAAATTAGAGGATTTTTTTCAAACTTTAACGTACATATAATGAATATGTATGTCCTAAAATTAAAAATGTACTGAACTGAATTCCAAATGCTGCAATGCGTTTGTTTTATTTTAAATCACTTTAAACCCCCCTTACAACGTCATTAATTAAAATATTTCATTTGCATTTTTGTTTCCAAATAAAATATTTATTCATTTTTTCTTTAATTCAAATATTTTAGTTATTTGTTTTAAATTGCACTTGTGTGTTACGAGATATGACAAAAAATATTAACTGCTCTCCAACTATATATTTTTTTTCGGTAAATCACTCTATCCTCAGAGTCACGACTCTAGTATTAAAAATTTGTTAAAATTTTCCATAACCGAAATTTACCCCGAAATATAGGGGATAGCCGCAAACTGGGAAATATGGTCTCAGAAATATGGTTCAGAAATTAATTTTGCTCTGAAAAAATTCGCCTACTCCCAGGAACTTTTGAAGCGAATTGAAATTTTTTTGCATACAATTATAAAATTCATTTAGCCAAAGATAATTCCATGCAAAAAATCACTTTTAGTAAGTATTTATTATTTTTTCTATAATAATCGAAAAAAATTTGAATTTTAAGGTATAACAGCATCATTTTAATGAATGTAATTTTACATGTCAAAATACAAAACTTAAGCTTAATTGGTTGAATAGTTCCAGATAAAACGAATTTTAAGTTTCTAACATTTTCAAAATACAATTTATCAGGAACTATTCGACCGAATTCACTCTAATTTCTTATTTCGCCATGTAAAACTTCTTTCCTTAAAATGATGCAAAAAATCGTATATCTTACAATTCAAAATTTGTTCGACAATTCTTAAGCGATATTATGAAAACTAATAAATATTTACTTAAAGTTATAATTTTGCATGGAATTATCATTGGAAAAAACAAATTTTATAATTGTATGTAAAACTGCTTCAATTCACTTAAAAAAATTCTTCAGATCGAAATACGCAAAAAGTAAAATTTATACCAAGGGGTCGAAACTTTGGAGAGCTTTCCTGATCAAACTATTGGGACCCTATTTCCCGGATTGCGACTACCCCCTATATTTTGGCATCAGAAATCCGAATCAGTCTAAAAAAGGTATGTTTATTTAGCGAATGTACGTTTTTGAGGCTAATTTCGTAAATCAAATTATCGCCTGCACTAATTAACTAACATATTTGAGGTTATCCTCTTAAACCATTAAAAATGAGTCTTAGAACTTGAAAATCCGCATATTGGATCAAAAGGTATTCAGGGTGGTACTTTATGATGGTGACTTTATATTACTTGGATTAAGCCCACTGTTTCTTAACCATTGCTTTTCATTATTTAATTTGAACACGCTTCTGACTAGATCGCTGTACAGGTTTTTTTTTATCGCAAAAAAGAGCTCTCTCCTGCTAGCTGCTGCTATCTAATCTCTCACTATTGTGTACGGGTACGCGATTGTCAATTGTTTCTATTCAGATCGCACCGAGATATGAGCTCACAATTGCTATAGAAATGACTAACTTGCCCGACCAATCGATAAAAGGTGAAGTTTTGAGGAAAATTCTAATTTGCATTTTATGGCAGGGGAAGCTAATAAAATTCAATAAACCTCTGTAGCCGTTAGAAATTTATTCAGTGCACAGGAAAAATACCTTGAAATTTGGATTAAATTTTTGGCTGGCTGTGGAACTAAGACCAAATATTTTAAAAACAGTTTGATATATCTATATTACTTGCCATTACACTACTTTGTATGAAAGAATTGTCCACATGGACATTTTTTTACATACTGAAAAGCTTTTTTACTATTTGTAAGCGAAAGGAATTTCAATGGTTGTTACAATACGGTTAATTTATAGAGAAATCTCACCAATTCGTAAAACTCTTTCTGCCGACACAAATTATAACTTTTCGTCCTGCCTGCAACCTATTTAAGGAAAATGCTAAGAAATTTTCGTTTGTAATTTTTATTTCAAATCATGTGCTAATACCTACACTGGTAGGTATATGTAACAATTTCTTGATTTTCTTATATTTTTTTGTTGAAAAAGATGGTGATTTTTATGTATCGAAAATCAGACAATTAAAAATACTGCAGACATTAAAACTAATTAAGAAAACCATTTCTAACGTTTTATAATCATATTTGAATTAAAAATCAATTAGTTATGTTCATTTTCATATTGCGGTTAAAATTATTATAATTTTTGTTCTAGTTAGAAAATTGGCATTACTTACACTTTAATTGGTGATTCTTTCCCATAAATAAAGTAGGCTGGTCCTGTGTAAACTCCTTTTGGCTCTTCAGATATGGCATTACCTTTACTCAAAGCATTTTCTAAAGCCTTGAGATTTGTCTTGTAATTCCAACTACCGTCTGGGTTTTGTTTCAAATTAAGTCTGGGATCTTTTTCTTTACTAATAGCAAAAGGTTTCTGAAAAAATAGGAAAAATCATGTTAAAGGTACTATAATATTTTAAATATGTTAATGTCTAAATATATATATATATATATTATATTACCTTATTAACAAAAAGATAACATTCAGAATCATTTAATTAAATTATAAGAAATTACAAATAATTAATTTTAATTTTCACTTGGAAGGAAAATAGAAAATTTGAAATTAATACAAAGTAATCATACAATAGCTACGAATAGTATTCAATTTATAGATACATCTGTATTGACGTCACTTCACTTACAGTTCAATAAAAATTAATCAATGATCGATCAGTTACTAGCAGCAACTATTTGGAATACTTTTCATTTTTCGAAGTAAAGTAGTGTTAACATCTAGTTGCCACTAATAACAACACTATTACGGTAATTGATTGAATGATAATACTCAAGTGATATAGTTCAATATCTGACTTGGATATCTCTAATAAAAAATATACAAAAGGAATATAACTTGATTTATTTAGGTTTTTATTTAGGTTTTGAGTATTCACCTTATCCCGACCGTGTTTCATGTTTTCCACGGTAGGGGGCAGTATTTGTAGAGGTTTTTTTTAACTTCCGGTTGAAGATTCAAGTAGAATTTCTGCTGGTGCAAACTAAATTGCGTAAATCCACGTCTCAACAATCAGGCATATCAATCAATACAGGATAATTTCCAAAAGTACTTTTTTCATATCTTCATCTGACATTTTCAAACACGAAGAACACAGTTTTTCGCAAAAACGTGACACAAAAATTTAATTTAGAACAACTGAGTATGCCGCAGAAGAAGAAAAAAGAAATAGTCACGTCAAGGCTATGACGTCAGACGAGGATCTCAAGAAGATTACCTCAATATCTATTTCAGTTTTATTTTTTGGAGGGCAACATGACAGCATTTTTATGCTTAGTAAGATTGTATTGAATCGGCCATCATTTAATTAGATTTTAATGCAAATAGTCTTTATTTTATATTAGAAATAAATTAGTGAAAGTTAAATTTCTATATTATTATTTTATTGTAATTATTTACGATTATTTTTTTTTGTACAAAACTTTGCTTAAATAACCTTTTATCTAATATATTTTCGACCGAACTGTGAGTTTTGCCTGAATTTATACAAACAACTGCAGATAATAAATTTTAGTTCAGTTACTGATATTCTCTAAACATATTTATAAAGCTTTTAAAATAATTCAGGACATCTAAAAGTATTGTTTCCCAGAAAATATCATCATATATAGTTTAAATTAGAGCAAAACAAATCGAATTTAATAATTTCACTGCACTGTTGGAAATTTCACGGAAAAATGGTTAATTTATAGTTTATTAAATTTTATTTCAACATATTCAATCAGAACAATTAAATAATCATGAAAAGAGAAGGTATTCAAACTATTATTATGGGAAAATTCATTATCGACTGTTTTCATTTAATGCAATTTAACAGTCAAATTTTCTTCCATAACTTTTAACTCTATATGAAGCCTCCTTATGTGAAGTCTTAGTTCCTTGCTGCTAGCTAGCTACTTCAGCTGAGAGGACTGATTTGTCAATCCAGCTGAACGTGGGTTCTAATCCCAAAATTGGCAACTCAATATTTCCTTTATTTCTTCAATACATGAGGAGTTTCTAGTCTTCTACGTAACTCTGGTCTATTGAAATGCGAAACTCTCATTGAAGCATAATGGTTGCACCACACAGATACAAAAATACAAAAGTTCTAGTATTTCCTACCTCTCATGATAGATGATACTTCTAGATTAAGCAATTAAGCTACATTTTACGGTTCCCTTGACAAAATATAACTCAACCAACAACCTAACTCTAAATGTCCAGTTAAATTTCACTTTTACAATTTTGAAAGAATACTAGTTTTAAATGGTGCACAAAAGTGCATAGTTTTGTAATAATGGTATTTAAACAATATCAGTTGTAAACGGTTTCAAAGCCAAAAAGGTAAAAAAGTTTCTAACCGTAATATTTATGGTTAATTGGATGAACAGATTGCTACCGGTTATTTAACCATAGTTTTTTAAGGAAAATTCTAACAGTGTAGAATTGTAACAGTTTGAATCAATTTGCACAAAAACTTTTCAAGTGTAATTTAAGTTGGATAATTAAGAGAATCATCTTCCTTTTGATTAGTCAAAATCCTAAACGGAATATATAGTTATTGGACATATATACTACTGTAAAGATGTTAAAGTTAGAGGCTGAAGAATATTACCTGACTATTATCATCAATTACCAAATTCTGACAACCATATAATAATTTTGTTTAATTTTTTATTATTTTGAAAAATTGAAACGTATTACAAATTATTTGCTAAGTAACATTAAAAGTTAATAACATAAATTTCATTTGCAGTTGGCTAGCAAATGAAGTAACTTAAGCTTAGACATTGAGTTCAATTGTAAATGGAAGATAATACTATTAATTTCAATCACTTACCAGTGCTTCAGGAACAGCGTTGTATATGAAATCCGCGATGATCTTTTTTGCATCTTTCTCTGATATACCAGGAGGAACTACCTTTACAGCTTCTTGCGCAAGCTGCTGATACATCTTTATAATTTTTAGTCTATTGTTTGATGGTCTCTTCACACCCATGTCTTCTACAATAATTTTTTCTATTTTATCAGGCTGAAAAGTGCAGCAACAATTTAGTAGGCTCAGTAATATTTATATAAATAAACACAATATGTATGAGTATAATATATATGAGAATAAATTATACACAAATAAACCGTATGTTCCTTTAATTTATTTATTGAGCCCACTTATATTCGAATTCAGTTCGATCATGTTAAAGAACGTTTTGTTTGCTGTTTGATTATGATAACGCTTGGTTAGGGATATCCCGAATATTTTTTATCGTCTGTTAACAATTTTCAGTCTTATTAATTTTGTAATAATTACTCTAATATGGTTTTTATAGCTTCTGACTAAATATTAATCGAAACGTTTTCATCAACCTGAAATTTAAAGGCTAAACCGTGCCTTGGGTTAGGACCTAAACCAAAGAAACTGAGTTGATTTTGAGCAAAAAACCAAGAGAAGTTTGCTGTATGCTGCAACTTTTTTTAATTTTCCAAATATGATTTTTTTGGCAGTCTGTTAGTTTCTTGGATAAATAAATAGAGGAAACTTCTGCTATTCAACTCAGAAGATACTTGCTTATCTATTGTTTGGCACAAAAAAAAAATCAGGGCACATACACTATGTTTTGCAAACTCGGCAGAAGTTTTTATGGCTCACAGAATTGCTCAGCTGCATAAAGTATTACATGAGTTCAATTGTTTTTAACTTTAAAAACTTAGAAGTAAACTTACGGCTCTTAAAGCTGACTTAATGCTAGTCACTCCTCCCATACTGTGACCCACAAGAATAACTTTTTCAGCTTTGATTTCATCGATGAAATGTAAAGTATCGATAATGTTTGCATCAAAACTAAAATCATCACTCCATTCACTGTCACCGTGGTCTCTAGCATCCACTGCATAAACCTGCATATAGAAACAAAAAAATATTCAGAAATTTTTTTGACCCTTTTCCTTACAGTATATACCATATTGTACCATCACATGTGGTTCACGTGTTGTACCAGCAGTAAGCAAAAGGTTAAGAGATTTCTAAATAAAATATGTATCTTACATTAAAAAGAACGAATAAAAAAAAGATTTGTTACAAATCATTTATATTTTATTGTATTTAAAGTGGTATGCAAAATTTAAAAAAAAGACATGTATAAATTACTACTCAGATGCTAGTTACGAAACTTAATTCAAATTATTAACATTACTGTCCTACAAAACAAATTTAGCGAATTACATGAGTTGTTTGTTACATCCGTAATGAAAATGTACCATACGTGACTTCCAACCAAAAGTTCTAACAAATAGAAAACTGAACAATTAGTTAAAGCACTAACAATAATTTAATAAAATATGCTAGTCAAAACCCCGGTAACTGAAACCCCACCAGGACGTCAGCTTGTTGGTGGTTACAAAAATATTCTCTAATATACTGTGTTGAGATGTTGCAAATACATTCAGTACATTTTGCTATGGAGGTCAATGCTTTTGCTGCTTTGAAAATAAATTTGTATCAAATGATGTTTTGTATTCCATTAGCTTTAAGATTCTACACTAAATGGTCTACTGTTAACTACATATTTTTGTTTCTTTCGGTTTTACCGGAGGGCCTTAATTCACCAAGTGGTAGGATTTTCTGCTTGATGTCCGAAGAATAAAACAAACGCAACACACAATTCTGAATTTGAAGTAAAATTTACAATTTTACAATTTAAATTAAGAAAACAAAATCTTAACAGTTTGTGCGAAAGATACAAATTACAACATGATTCGAAACAAAAGAAGAAATAACAAAATATTGGGTACATAACAAGGTTTTTTTTTTAAATTTTTTAAAAATTTAAATTCTACGAGCTTTTTTATCGTTTAACTGGTTCTCGAGTGGTTCTTTTTAACTACTTACTCCCTCTGCATACACATGCAGCATTTGCAGCCTTCATATATATATATNATTAATACGAAGTAATGAAAATCGAAGAAAAAGTCTAGATATAAAATAAGAAGCCTGGCGGCAGCAACAATGTCCCAGCTGGAAGAATATTTCAAGCAAATATTATAAGGTGAAATAAGTTCTTACTTTATAAGAGAACTAAAAGAAATATATTTCATTTTTACATGTCTCTTTGAAATATATGTCCTTTTTAACATATTTCCTTTTTGATAAATTGCTATTTCTAGTAATGCTTTGTTATATAGTTTGTTATTTTGTGTCAATGATTTTGGTTTTCTTTTGCTGTGTAGTTACTTTTAGCTCTCTTATGAGGTAACGAATTATTTCATTTCATCTTATAATATTATATTATGTAATCTTATATGATATTAAATATCCGTTAAAGCACAACACCCTCTTCCGAATGATATGATCTCTATAATGACAATAAGTACATTTATTGACTTGTCAAGTGTCAAAAATGAAAAAAAAAAAAGTGAAGGGAACATGTCAACGCCATATAGCATGGAAAATAAAAAAAGCCATTGTGACAGCAAAAGTAAGAGTAAAAATGATTTAAACTTAATGCTTACTTTTCTGCTTGTCGCATCGGCAACAATTTGGGGTATTTCGAACCAATGCTCCTTAGATGCTGTTATTCCATGCAAAAATAAAATTGGAACATCGTGTTTTATTCCAAGAGTAGGTTCAAAACTTTTGTGTGCTAACTTGACTGGTTTGGTAGTAGTACTAAAACAGAAGAATATTCTTAAAAGTTTCATTTAATTCTGCTTTATTATGTTTAAAACTGGAAATTACTTTTCCTAAAATGTTTATGAAAATCATACTTACAAATACATTTATAATAGATATGTCAAATAATCATTTTATTTGTATAAATAATAAAGAAAAATGAAGTGGCGAACCTCTGACAAAATCTTCTTTCGCTTTAAAAATAGGAGACAACAGTCGACATGTTTCAAGTACTCAAAAAATGCGCCTATTTTCAAGACTTGACAGACGTAAATGAATTGATAGAAAAGAGATTTGAAATATAAATCTACGTAAGGTACCTTAGGAAAATTTTTCATAAGTTTCCCTTAAAAAAGTGCCATAGGATATTGCTATGGAGTTTTGGCTCTGGTAAAATTTTGCCATGCACTTTTGAGATATGCGTGCAGCAAAATTTTGCCACACATATATGGCAAGAATAAATATTTAAATTCAGAATCTATGTGAATATTTTCTTCCTGATTAATTCAAAATTTTGATTCAATATTTCGAACGTTCAGAGGATCATATTGGATTACTTTAAATACTGTAATAAAAACTCCTGTAAAATGAGATAGCCATCAAACACGCCATACTCCAATCCTTAAGACCTTTTCTTTGTCTTTCCTATTAAAAAAATTAATCTAAGGCTACAGCACGCAATAGCTTTAACACAAAAATTGCTATATAAAAAAATCACGGGATATCCCTATGGGGTTTTGTCTAAGGTAGAATTTTACCATATACTTTTGTCATAAACATATTTCAAAATTTTGCCACAAGCCTACGGTTACTTTTTTTCCTTAAGCATAGGGCAAATATTTAACCATTTGCCTTTGGCAAAAGTAAATGGTAAAATTTTATTGCTAACAAAAAATGAAAAAATAAAGGTGCGAAGCATAACTAGAAAAACCACAGCAGCCGAGAGAGAAAAAGTGATGAAAAATAGAACAAGAAAAAATCACAGTGGCTGAGAGAAGCAAAATTTTGCCTCTCTTTATTTATTTATTTCTTATTAATAAGATACAAATAAATAAATTTATAATTATATTTATTTATTTATTAATTTATAATAAATTTATTTATTTGCTTACAATAATATTTACATAAATATAATTATTTATTTATATAGATAAATTTATTTATCTATTTATTATAAGCAAATTTGCTTCTCTTTATAGAAGCAAATTTGGAACCTCGGAAGAAAAAATAAAGCAGTAGAAACAATGCCTTGATTGTAGTTGTAGTTCATTTATGTAGCACTAGAGCCGCACAATGGCCTATTGGAGACAGTCTGGGAAACATACATGAGGATGATCTGAAGACATTTATCTATTTATTATAAGCAAATTTGCTTCTCTTTATAGAAGCAAATTTGGAACCTCGGAAGAAAAAATAAAGCAGTAGAAACAATGCCTTGATTCTAGTTGTAGTTCATTTATGTAGCACTAGAGCCGCACAATGGCCTATTGGAGACAGTCTGGGAAACATACATGAGGATGATCTGAAGACATGCCATCACAATTTTGATCCTCTACAGAGGGATAGTCTCCCCCGCTAGAGTAGTTCGACAACCTGCGCACGAAGTCGAGAACTTTACGGTAAAACAGTTTATCGAAGACAAATACCGTACACCCTCTGACCCTTCTGATCCAAGTGATCACCCACCCGCACATTTACCGCAGCCAGTGATGCTTGACTTCGGTGATCTGCTGAGAACAGTGTCTTAGCGATCAGTCCACTGCGGGACGTACCCCGTATGAATTGTGGCTNTATATATATATACAGTGGTGGCCAAAAGTGTGGACACTTTTTGAAAGTTTCATGTTTTTCAAATTTGTGTGCTTGTAGAATATATTAATTTTAACTTAAATTCAAACGTTTATATATCAAATTCAAGGTACTATAATGTAGAATTTTATAATAAATACAGTATTACAATATCTGCATTACAAAAAAAGTTATGCACTTAACAGTAAGATCTATCTTAGATTTGCATTTTTTTAAAGTGATACTTACACAATCAATACTTAGGATAACCCTTAATTTTTAAGACAGCTTCACAGCGTTTTTTCATCGAGTGAACAAGTGTTTGGAGTTCATCTTTCGTAATCACATGGGGCGAAGAATCAATTATAGCTTCACTTAGTTGTCTTTTATTGGATGGACGTTTTTTTCGTACAGGAAAATAAGAATAAAAATATGAACTAAAATTATTATTTAATTATAAATGAAAACTTTGAAAACACACTCTTTTTCAAGCTCTTAAAATATATCAAATGGATTATTTCGAAAACAGGTTGGTTTTAAAAGCATTCAGATTATTTTTTAAATCTGAAAAGTGCTTATCTGACTTAAGAAAAGGCACACTAAAAGAAATAAAGCGTTCGTAAACTCGAAAGGTGTTAAGGCTCAATGTTGGACAGGCTCTAAACGAAGAGATTCTTATAAATAACATTGTCACAACTTCTAAATTTAATATTTTGACTTCTGAAATCACAATTGCAATTTTTTGTGCAATATAAAAGCTGTATAAAAACTAAGCATGCCTGAATGGTTTCCTTCTAACTTTGTCCCATTTTCCTTTTAACTTTGCCTTTCCTTTTTTGAGTTTGCCCACAAAAAGAAACTAACGTATGGAAAATACCGAATTTAAAAAAGTGGTAATAAATTTATTTGTATCTTTCAGATTTACGTGAAAACAAATGCTACAACTTTCATGATTAGAAATATAAATTCGAATAATGATTTTTTTTTCACTTTTTTACTGTCTTTTAAGAAGACGCTAGGGCAGGAATGAGTTAATACGTTTGACAAGATTAGAGATAAATGAAATAAAATAGAAAGTTAAGATTCTTTTAGCTGATCTTATGAAAATAATTTAAACTTTTATTTTCAGAATGTAATACTGCAGTTCTAATCATAAATACCTATATTCATTAATACATTACGGTGCGTAAGACTGCTTCATTTATTTTATATAAATGCTGATAATGAAACAATTTTGTTTTTATCATTTATCTTTTTGAGAGGAAAAAAAAGTTTCCGAAGATTATAATGCTGAGAGCTATCTGTTTTATGAACTAAAACTAATTAAACATTCTAATTTGACATATCTGGATTAGCTGCTCCCTTC